TACTACTACTACTACTACTACTACTACTACTACTACTACTACTACTACTATGCGACTACGACTACGACTACCACCTCTATAATGCTACTGGTTCTTGGTCTTCCCTCCGAACTCCTGCTTTGATCAAACATGGCCCCCATGCCTCTCATTGCGGGGGGCTGTGAAACCAGGTTACCGGTGCACAACCCGCTCCAGTCATGCCCGGCAGCAGCCCGTCGGGTGCGAAGATTCTGCGATTTAAAGAATTGATCCTGGGATCTCCAAACATTGAGATGATTTCCATGTATGTCCCATGTATTTAGCCGTGTATTTCCATGATTTTCCATGTATATGTCTCAATTTTTGCAAAGATCAACCCTCTTGTTCAGAAGGGACATAGACCAGGAGACATGGGTGTGTACTTCCCAATCTTTGCAAAGATCAACCCTCTTCTTCAGAAGGGTATTTTGACCAGGAGACGTTTTTTCGGATGAAGACAGGTGGACTGACTGAGATGACCCAAACTTCGAAACTTCCGGTCAAAGGTCTTTTCAAGAATAGGAGAATAGGCCGCATCGCTATAGGTTGGAGGGCTGGCCGCTGGCGGCCATCGACCTTCCAATGGTCTACAACTCGCACCCCATCTCCACTTCTCCACTTCCCTCCATCGGTCGGTAAGAACCACACCGGACCGGCATCGTCGGGCACCGCGGGTCGACGAAAGGACCGAAGGGACTCACAGTCCAACATACCAACAGAGGTTAAAGAGCCCTATAGACTATCCCATAGGTCCCCCAGTAGGGTCCTAGTTCAGGTCACTTGTGCTGGTAGGTTTCGGTCCAGGCGGTCTATTCTAGTGTGATCAACCACTGGACATGCGTTCGTTCGGCGTTCGGTCAGCGGACGGGTACAGCGTCCGGAGATCCCGTTGGGGACAACAATGGGACGCCTGCCGAATCACTTCGAAAAGCCAGACGCCGAATCCGCTTTTCTTCGATCTAAGATGAGGTTAGTTTTGAAGCGAATCCGCTCCTTAAGTAGTCTTGAAGTCTTCCATGTTCGTTCTCTTCTACTATTTGGAAGGCCTTTCGAGTGATCCCAAGGCGACGTCGGATCCTCTCCAAGGTGGATGCTGGTTCGGAGAACCGTCCAGAAGGCTTCAGGAACACCATGGCCATCCGCGGCCACCTTCCTCCTTGCCTCAGAATACCTTCATTAGATGGTATACCCAGCTTCAGAAGAAGGGTGCTTCACTCTGCCTCTGGGCAGCAGGCGCGCCCCGCAGCTGATCCCCGCTAGTGAACGAGCCACTGAGCAAGCGCATGAGCATCATGAACTCATCTACATCAATCAGGGCGTTGAAAGTTCAGCTACTGCTCATGAACCCTACTAAAAAGGATTAAAAGGGTACCCCGCCGCCATACCTCAACCAGTCCAAGAGATGCTCGGCAACCAGAGGTTGTTCGTGCAAGCAAACAAGTAATATTCCAGTATCCCGAACTGTGTGTAACTACAGCCCTGAGAACCTCACCATTCAAATTGTGTTTCTTGTGCCAAAAACGGCGCAGAGGTGTCAATTGACTTTACCCGAGGAGGCGGTTTTTGGTGGTTCGTTCGTGGTGTCTTTGATAGAATATACTGACCCGACTTCGAGTACTCCAGAAAAATGGGACATGACCCGAACAAAAAAACAGGTACGACTCTATATACCCATTGACTAAGGTACGTACAAGTCGAATGTTCTAGCCAATCACAAAGAAACTACCACGAGTCACTTGTTGGGGTGGTTTTTAGTCCCATCTAGTGAGTGGATGTTTTGGGCACCCCTATCCTCCCTTCGTTCCGCACCCCTGTCTGTGGCTCCTGCTAGTTTCTTGACCCATTCCACGAGAAGGGTCCGGAGCCCACAAACATGCTACTGATACTGTATACTCACAATATCTTACATTGAACTGGTCACCAACCACATGGAACATCGACCGTTTCAACATGGAACATTTCTCCATGCATACACCATGTGCCTTTCATATCCTTTCCCAAAAGGACCATTCTTCCACCTGCAAACCACCACCCGACCTACTGCTACCTACGTGATCTTCATCAGCTGAAAGGCTTTTCGGTCACGCTCGTGCCACGTCGCCGCTCTACACCCGTAGCACGGTCGCTCTCTACACCCGCTCAGGCACTCCGATGATCTCTGACACGCTCTTCTCATCGGAGACGGACAGGTTAGAGGCGGAACGCACAAACTCCCGGGCTTCTTGGAAGCTCTTCGGCACCTGAGAGCTGGCGCAAATTCCAAATCACCACAAAAGCTCCACCACATTTTCTGTCGGGGGCGAGAGTGGGCCATGTTCTTATATCCACTCAAAGGTGTCCGGAAGGTGCTGGATCAAAACATCCTGTCTAAGACGGAGAACATGAGACATAGACTCCGAGCAAAACCAGTGCTGACAGGTATAGTTCTAGATCTCCCAAACACGACCTGTATGGGACTGGAATATATGCCGCCCCAGAATTCAACCCCTGTTTTCAACCACTCCAACTGATCGGTAAAGCTGGCCCGTCCGGATGGTCATGGGTCTGCTACTTGATCGGCCGGCCATCGGGCCATCTCGGGGTCTCGCTGTGCAAAACAAGAGCAATGGCCTCCGACCTAATAGCAAAGGAACCTAATGGGAATGGCCAACCTAATAGCGATGGCCTCCAAGCGAAGAGCGATGAGTCTGGGCACCGTGGGCTCCTTACCTTGACGATTCCAAAAGATGGTGAGGATCATCACCTGAGCGTCAAGACGAAGACATGCACGATGAAACACACCATATGAGGGACTGGAAGAGTCACCTACATAGGTGATCTACTATGGAATTGTTCGTTTTTGGATGGGGTCAATGTATGGTGAACCTCTGAACCAGGTGCATGGATGGTTGGGGAATGCGACATCCATCCCATAGTAGGAATCCGTATCCCTACAGGCCGGCCCAGTCTGACTCAGTAAAACCTGGTCCTGAAAACCTCATTGAGTGTGTTTGCAGAGCCACCAACTCCAGCAGAATGAGGTCAAATACTCATTCGCTCCATGGTGGCGCAAATATGGCCCCTACGGGCTACATGACTGAGGTATTTAGGTGTTTGTCATGTCGGCCATCTGATCGCACGACCGCCTCGGTGATCTCCAAATCCCCTTTGGCTCCAAAGTGGCCCAGCAAACCCGGCGCATCTCATGGCGCCGAAGGCTCACTCCGGCATGTTCAAAGTGATGGGGCGAAGTCATGGATTTGCCCACGAGGTTCATCAGCTCACACTCCAAGTTCGCCGTCATTGAATGAAACACCTAACAGTATTTCAAAGCGCCATGGCGACTCCATGAGCCCTCCGGAGAGGTCTCCAATTCGGGTGTTGAGGTGTTTATATGCGGATTCGCCCGAGGCCAGGCCCTCAGGGATTGGAAGAACATCCTGACATTCGGCCCCCAGAACCGGTCGTGGCAGCCGCCCAGTGGCCCAGAACACGAAGGGCGCGGCCACCGTCAGATTGTCCTCCGCCGTGTAGATCAGAATCTAAGCCGGCCGGTCGCGCGGCTCGCGTGTTGCGGACCTCCAATTGGCGGAAATCCCCGTGAAAAACTCCGGGTCCTAGATATGCCTGGTCCGCCTGGTCGACCAATTCCGAAAGGTTCACCGGGTGTTGGTCCGATCAAAGCGTCAGCAAAACAATGGTACATTCAGGATTCAACGCAAATTTTTCAGGGATCCAGTCGTACCTTCTCAGTCACCTGGACCCTGGCACTCACCCCAGTCCCTTCTTAGGTTCGGTACGACTGGATCCCTTAGGCCGGATTCGAGTTGAATGGTGCGCCGTCGTCCAGCGGTGAAGCGATCGGAGGGTCCGAAGTCGTCTCTTCCTTTGGACGTTCCGGGGCTCGGCATGCTCTGTGGACACCTTTATTTTATAAAGGAAACAAAGACCAACTGGTCGCTTTCATCAAGAAGTTTACACTCTCGAAAACTCCGGAGCTGTTTGTGGAGTTCACCACCTGTTTGTGGATGTCCATGATCTTCCTTACGAGGCGACCTCCACGTAACCATGTTGGTTCCAGGGAGTGTATACCCGGGCACCGGACCTGACCAGACGCACAGCCTTCCCCAAACGGGTCAGGCGCGTGTGGTTGGTCGTGCAGTTCGGAGGAACCCGAGGTGTTTTTGGAGCTTCCCAAACGCTTTTCGGGGAGACTCCGTAGACTCGGGAAGCTCCCAACACGCCGTGGTTGTTCAGCAGGTGTTTTCTCCTCGCGCTTTGGTGTGGCTCGGAAAACAGGCCGGGAACAGGTCCTGTCTCCGTAGGGATCTAGAGTCTGAGAAGGTGAAGAGGTACGACGATACGAGCCCTCAAAACTGCAGTCCTGGCCTACATGTTTGGGGTGGTGAATCTAGGCCATCTTTGCGCCACGATACGAGTGGTTTGACATGGTTTGACCGTGTTTTAACGACTCAGTTCGAAAAGACGTCACCTGGGGATGAGAAGGTCACAGTGAAAAAAACAGGAGGTCTTCAACCAATCGGTAGACTGGTCTATTCTATTTCCCTTCCTCCAGAGACTCTCTGGAGGGTCTCTCATGTTTAATATACGCGCACTACACCTTTCTCATGGGTCATTGATTCACCTCGCTCATGTGCACCTTTTTCTTGTTGTAAAAGGACTCTCGCGGTCGGATTGCAGGTAGGGAGCACAACTCATGGTAGAACCCCCATCACCTAACTAGATGCCAATAGCAGGTCACCATGGTACACCTAGTGACCTAGTGCAACTGAGGGGCACCGTGGTAGGAGAGCACCAGCATGCAAAGCCAGGTTCCAATGGGGATGGAAATCAAGAAGGCACTCACCTAAGCAAATGAGAGCTGAAGGTGTGCTTTCTCAGCTCACCTGTGTTTGAAAAAATGCTGACTTCGTCATCTCAAAAAAGTATATAGTTCTTGGAACAGAAGGACGGATAAAAAGAAAGACACAATAATATATCGCTCTTATTCCATCTGCATGGAAGTCTCAAAGTACCTTGGTTTTATGCGGGTCATGTGTAGATGTTCGAAGGTACTTGAAGTCGGGTCTTCGGTCGCACATCACACGCACGACCGTTCCCACTGGGGCTCAGAGTTGGCACCCCAACGAATTCGCCGTCAGGTAGGTTGACATGCTTTGAGAATCGATACTGGACAAGCAACATCGGGTCCAGAGGGTCCAGACCTTTCCTTCGACCAGTTACAAAACATGGGAACAACCTGGTTCTGTAGTGTCAAATCCTTGGTAAAACAATGGTGGTTCACGAAGAACAGGCAAGTTACTGTAAAACAATGGTGGGACAGGAAGCCTAGCTAGGGCAAATGGTCCAGATATGTCCAGATGGTCACCCTCTGATTTCCGAATCCATGATGGATGGATGGATGGATGGATGGATGGACGGATGGCTGGGTGAGTGGCTGGGTGGGTGGCTGGGTGGGAGGATTCTCGGATCGATTGTATTGAAGCATTACTAGTTCGGCTCCCAGTTTGGACCCCTTCGCCGTTCGCTAGAGATGCTATGGGGGTTCGGACACAAAACAACTAGCAGCTTGAGGGTCCAGGGTCACCTCTGACTCTAGGTTTAGAGCACCTCCACCTACAGAGATTGCTGAACACTGCGACGAAAATGCCCAAAAAAAGAACATCCCGCGGCCCGCGGAGTATCACCAAAGTCACAGACTGCACCACCGCCCTGTCCAAGCCAGTTTCGGGCATGCACCAAACAGAGAGAAGCCAGCCTGCAAAGCGCACGACGGAGAGCGCGCTGAAGCATGTTTCGGGCATATCAACAATGTCCGCACTCGGGAACTGTCGAGGGGTCCTTGCCAGGTACCATATTCCTTGGGTCTATCCTCTTACCAGGGCCCAGTGGATGATGATGGTTAGGTACCAGGCCTTGTACAAAAATCGTGATTTGCGTGTGAAACCGGGTCCTGTTACAGGTCGGACAGACCCATATTCCGATTCCAAAGGGCCGGGCCCTTTCACTGGAAATCGTGTTTAGAACTGGATCATCATCTGCCATGCCCCCTGTTTTCAACCAACCACCCCTAGACAGGGGACTGCAAGCTGCGCAGTCCCAGAGGGGGACGGTCGTGTCTACGATTGGTTCTTTACCCATCCACCGGCTCAAGAACATCCACCAACCTGCCGCAAGAAAGAGGAAATCCCGTGCTGGGCATCGCACACGACCAGTCGGGTTGCCTCATCTCTGTGTCTCTTTTCTCGTGTAAGCAAGCACTGCCTATTGCACAAGAAGTTCAGGATTGAAACCATGCATCAATCCCCCAAAAGAAAGGATCCTGGCCATTTATCAGTGTCTCTCGACGTTTCCCTACCTCGCCGAACGGACCTCCCTTCCTGGGGGATCCCTACCCCCCCGCACCGAAGACGCGACGCGTCGGAAAAAAGCCGCGACCGGCGGCGACGGCGCCGAGGTCGGAACTCGAGTTCGAAAGAAGACCAAAAGGAGCCAAGCCCGGGGTCTTCGAAGGTACAGCTCACCATGTTCAGGGTTCTCTTCCATGGTGCAGCTACTGAGATGTGCCAGGACCCTCCGAGGTTCGGCTGTTAGAGCCTAACAGGTGGTGAACCTGGGCACCGGACTTGGAAACACAGGAAACACCTGCTTCAGTCGGGTCCAGGTTGAGATGGTTTGGAGATGAAGTCTCATCCTGTGGATGCGATGCGATGAGATCCGGGGCACCCCGACTTGCTTCCTTTTTTTGTTGTACCTGGACCCTGGACCTGAGGAGTTTCGTACGTTCTTGGCAGACTTCGGACCTATAGAATCCAAGGTACTCACGAAGTCAGTCGACGCCAGCTCTACTGGCATTCAAGCTACACTCCGACGAGCACATCACAAGAAAGTGGATGGCACCCCCTCTTCGTAAAGGAGGCCATCGTCTTCCAATAGATCACCATAGCATCCACTGGTCCATGTGATGTGCTTGTCAGTGTAATAAAAAAAACATAAAGTTATTCTGCGGCCAAACCCCGGGAGACATCTCCGGGTGCCACACCCAGCAATCGCCGCATAACAGAGAGTGACCGGCGATGGAAAGCGTGAGAGTTACCGCTCCCAACAGAGGGAGAAGGGAAGCGAAATCACAGAGGTGAATGAAATTCGTCAGAACATGGGTCACAAAAGGATGAAACAACTGGTCCACAAGATGTTTTTAGTTGTTTGGTTGAGAGGACTTTTTTAAAGGCCACCTCACTTAGATGAACCCAAAAACTGAATCCCTCAATCGTTTCGTGGCTCGCTGGCTATATCGGGGCCAGTACACTATATCGGCTACGAATGGGCCTAGCTACCGAACACTGGCGCCGCCACAAGGGTCGACCGGATGCCTCCACGGCCCCCCGGACGATCCCATCTTTTGCCGGCGAAGTCTGAGTCCTGGCGAGGCGCCTGAACTGCCTGACGTAGCGGGCATCATGTGGGTAACAAGTTACACCCGGCGAAGACCTGCTCCCCAATGTGGGTCACGGAGCTCGGGATGGTCAAGTTCACCAACGAGGTGCAGCCAGCAAAGGCGCCGTTCCCAATGTGGGTCACGGATGCTGGGATGGTCAAGCTCGCCAACGAGCTGCAGCGCTGAAAGGCACCGTTTCCAATGTGGTTCACGGACGCTGGGATGGTCAAGTTCGCCAACGAGCTGCAGCGCTGAAAGGTACCGTGTCCAATGTGGTTCACTGAGATTGGGATGGTCAGATTCGCCAGAGAACTGCAACCAGCAAAGGCATAATCACCAATGTGGGTCACTGAGTTCGGGATGGTCAAGCTTGCCAAAGCGCTGCATTCCAGAAAGGCGCCATCTCCAATGTGGGTCACAGACTCTGGGATGGTCAAGTTCGTCAAAGAGCTGCAACCCTGAAAAGCGCAATCTCCAATATGAGTCACTGAATTCGGGATGGTCAAGTTGGCCAAAGAGCTGCAATTCTGAAAGGCGCCATTTCCAATGTGGGTCACTGAGTCTGGGATGGTCAACTTGGCCAATGTGTGGCACCATGCAAAAGCCATAGCATGAATGTGTGTTTCATGATTTGGAAGTTCAACCACAAGTAACAGTTTGGAGTCAACTATGCCACCAAGACGGGCAATCATATCTTTGTGGGAACATACCACTATGTTTGGTTTGAAGACAACCCCCACGACAGTATCTTGAGTAATTCCAGCGTCCAATACTCTTGCATCATTGGCCAGCAAGTGGTCGTCTCCAACTATGATCTCCACACTTGTAGTGCTGCGAGTCAGCTCGTCCCAGGGCTGTCCCTCCTTAATCTGCTGCTTGAGCTCACGGCCTGTTATCTCTGGCGTGAACCAGGAGTTCTCCATTTGGCTGGAGCACTGAAATGTTCGTTGCCATGGCCCGCCATCCAAACTCTACGACTTTGCACTGAATTGACTTAAAGAGTTAATTGCTTGTTGGCCCGAAGTCCTTCATCATGCATCGCTTCTTCGCTGCTGATCCAGGATCACCTGTCTTCTACAAAAACATCCAAGGGAATGAAATGACTCTCGTCACTGGCCACACATGGTCTATGATCGGTGTGTTGTGGGGCTCTTGAGCTCTGGAAATTAGCTCTGGTAATGGTAACTGGAAGCCCGCTTCTCCCCTGGTTCGTTGGAAGAGGTGAGCCGGGAGTAACAACCAGATATGACCTGGACCTCCGTGGAGGGTGAGAATAGGAATGGGGGAGAACTTCAGCAACGGCCGGACACGCAAAAAGCATCGACATGTTGTTTTACAAGAACCAACTAGAGAAAGAACACCTGTATTAAGTATAGGAAAAACGTCCCTTGTCCTGTAGAGAAAAATACATACATATATATATATATATACATTCACAAATGTGATTGGTAGACGGAACCCTTCCTTCTCAACCTGGACGACCACGTCCGTCAACAACAATGACCACTGTCAATGTAAAAGAACCAAGGTGCCCTGCACCACAATGTATACAACCCTCAAAAGTGCCCTGCACAACCAATGGTTTCCGCCCTTCCGTAGCCAATGCCCAGCCGCACGTTTTCCGGTGTACGGCACAGGCTCATGAACCCTCCCACCCACCTCTTGAGATGGTAGGTGGCGACGACGGCAAACAGGAATGCTTCATCATGTGACAGGGTATTCTTCGAAATACGTCTTTCTTTATTTATTGCTGTCGAACATGTTTGAAGCAAGGTGGGTAGGCGCTTACAAAAAAAGACTTCTTGCTCAAGCTTTGACTTCCCTCTCCCCTTTGTAGTGTTCACACTACTTCCCCTGTCTTCACTTCTCAAAGTGATCCGAGACATTCCCTAGGGATCGGTCTTGGCTTTCAAGAAGTGGCTTCGACTGCTTCTGGACGACTTGGCTTTTCCAGATTCTGTCTCAGCCATTGCATTCTGGTTCTGGTATTGGCCCTTTTACGAAGAATCTCTCCTTCGTCGAACAACTTGTACACTCCATATTTGAGTACGGCGCGAATGACTGAATTGTCCATAATCTTAGTTAGACAATCAGCGAGCTGAGCGCCAGTGGGAACCCATCTCAGGTGGATACCAGTGCTCAGTTGTTCCTTGATCAGTTTTGCTTGGAGCAAGGTTCTGTACTCTGAGCATGAAGGAGTTGCATTTTTATTTACTAGATCATAGAGTGATTTGCAGTCCGTTATGGTTGTTGCTTCTGAGGTCTCTATGCGATCTAGGGCTTGTTTTGATTGGCACAATGATTCATTTGGGTCTGTCAAGTCCTTTTCACACAGCGTCGAAAATGCTGGAGGCAATTTCAGGAGTGTCTTGTCTCCAAGCTTCCATTCGCATGTGTTGTCGATGAGCCAGGCCCAGAACAAGCGAACCCAGGACTGCGCTTTGCCAGTGACATGGCTTCGGCTGACAGTGTGCTCACAGCGACCTTTTGGATTTTGCGTGAAGCCCAAATGATTGGGTTGACTGGACCCTCTTGGTTATTAGCTATGTTTTTGTGGCTTGCCATGATCAAAAGACCTTGATGGGAGCTATGGTTCTTTTCTGATGCAAAAGATGCATCTGAGAAAGTCACAAATCGCAGGTCTTTCTTCTCAATGCTTTGATATTTGATGGTGACATCGGCGTTTGTTTTTGCTTCATGCAATGTTCTATTTGCTTCCTGTAAGTCTTTTACCTGACCATTATTTATCTTACTTTGGAGGTTTCCAAGGCGACTGCATAGGTCAGGTCTCGTGTTAACCCCTGCATAGAGCAAACTGCCTATCACCGCTCTGAGTGCTTGTCTTTATGTTTCCGCTATGGGATCGTCTGGTGTTTTCCTGCGATCACTGGACACATGGATCGGGTTGATGCCGTTTACATATTCAGTTTGATCCACGTGAATCGAGAAGTCTTCCTGTTGGGAAATGTGAAGACCGGTGAATACGAAATCTGTATGCTTTTGGCTTCCAAAAGGGAACCGTTTGGACAATTGTCGGATCTTCTCATGCATTTCAGGGGTTCCGCAATATATCCCATCATCAACATGGACCCCAACAAGACCAATTGTCTCCCCCTTTTCGTTTGGGAGAGCAAACAGGCAGCTGTCCATGGGAGAAGGCTTAAATCCCAGTTCTACTAGTCCCTTAGACAACTCTCTGAACCAGAGTAACGGAGCATCCGCTCTCCCGTATGCACCCTTTTGTAATTGGACTAGTTCATTCGGACCAAGTTTCATGATTCTTTTCATTTCTTCTGGTGGTTCCAGTCCGAGTAGTCGGT